CGTGGGACAGGCCGAGGACGCTGCTGAAGAGCCCCGAGCCCTGCCGCACGGGGCTCAGCATGGGCGGCGGGGTGTAGGGGGGCGGCTCCTGCGTGCGGTCCAGCAGGTGGTCCCCCAGGACGCGGGGGGAGCGCAGCTGGCTCTGGTACAGGGTGGCGCCCGAGTGGGACAGGCTGAAGTTGAAGGAAGGGGGAGGGATGAAGAGAGGTTCGGGTCTGTGCCGATACTTCTTCTTGTCCTGCAAGGGCTTGAAGTTTTCTTCCAATTTTACAGCGCTTGGAATCTTTCTGCTGATTTCCTGAATGAAAACACGCATCACTTCAGCATGTAGGTATGTTTACATGGGGTTTGCAGACAGACCCTACAGCTTAGGGCAACAGCCACAGAAAAGCTGTACCTACCACCAGGCAGTTACTCAGGTACCACCATAACAAGCCTGGTCAGTACACTATCTGGAACTACATATTGATAAAATTGTAGTTCCAGATAGTGTAAATTGAAAATTGAAAATTGATTGATAAAACCCAGGTCAAGTTACCCTCCCCTCCCACAGAAGCCCTCTGGGTCAAGGTAGGGCTGAGCCACAGAGACAGACCAAGAAGGTGCAAGGAACAGCTCTCCAGGCCATGGGACTCCCTCACCCTTCTTCAGCTCCCACCTAAACACCCATGGCACTGCTGTTTACACTGCACACACACAGGCCGTTGGGAGTTACTTCATTATCCAGTCACAGTTTTAGAAGCTTTATATCAGATGTCATCCAATACTTTTTTTTTTTGTGTCTAGGAAGGACACATGAGCTTAGTGAAATTACTGCAGTACTCAGCAGCAGGAAAGGAAGAAAAATGTAATAAATTAAAATTCTTTGTCTCTTATCACTACATTCCCATCAGCTTGAGTACAGTCCAGCTGCAACAAATCTTGGACTTAACTCTCTGCTTTCCTTGGAGGAAAAAGGATAGTAAATGGCCATTTGGGAAATCCACACACCATAACATGTCTAGAACTCTAGAATTTGAATGTTAAAAATAACTTAACAATAAACCCCTATATTCCAGAGAAGCAGAAGGCACAGAAATGTGCAAATCTACAATCTGGTTTTCCATGGGAGGGGCAGGGAAGGTGTCTGAGGTGGGAAGAAACAGGTTCTCAGGTTGTCCTTTAAGAGCACACTGAAGGTGGCAGATGAACACAGTATTAACTATGCTGCTTTCACGTGTTCAGATAGTAGATCATCTTTAGGATAAACTTGGAAAGCAGAAGAAAAGCCTTGCCAGATAGGTTTACTCCAGAATGTCTGCATCATCCAGTAAATTCTACTACTACATAAAGTAAAATGCTACAACGTATGTTTAGACAACATACATCTTTACACCATGGGTGGTTCTTAAGAATCACATTCACCCAATAAAAATCATGTTAAAGGAGCATTAGCACTGTCACCCTTTATCCCTTATGTTAATATGTTCCAGCTTGTGGAAATGTTTTTGATTACAGAGGTCCTGTCCCCCCTGTTAGATCAGGGCTGTATCCTCCCCAACAGCTGCTGATAATTTTTCTTTCAAAAAAAAAAAAAAAAAAATCAGGTTTTGAAAGTTTTCCTTTTGCAGGGGAAAAGAAATAAAACAAACAAACAAACCATGCAGCTTTACAGAGAAATTTGTTGATAATACACGTTCAGGACAGTGGAAGGGTGAAGGTTACCTGTAACTACATACAGAGTCCATCATGATGCTGAACAAAAATAAAAACCAACAAAACAAACCCTAAAAGTCCCCAGGTCCCAGCCTCTGATTAAGGGCTGATGTTCTGCTCCTTAAATGTGAGAGAGAGCTGGTACTTCTTTCTCCCTAGTGTAAAGCAAACTAACCCAACCAAGACAACACCTTGGAAAGCCTATACACCTCCAACTCCTGCCTTGCCTCATCCTAGAACATACCTTCACCTCAGTGTGCTTATGCCAAGACTATTTTCAAAAACATATCAGACTGAATATTAAAGAAGATCATTATGTCCATGGGCTCCCAATACAGAATCACCCCAATACTTTTCTGAAGCTCCAGGAACTGCTTCCCACTATCCAAGGCTGAATGCATCCTTGTGGGCCCTGCTGCTGCATCTTGGTAAGATTCTGATCGACCTTGCTTGACGACCAGCTTCAGCTCACCACCTGTAGCCTTACTGAACATTCAGTTTCCTTCTGCTGTTTGGTTTTACCAATTCCATGAGCTTTGTGGGAGCTTTTCTGGACAACTCAGAGCACAACATAAATAAATACAACACAGCTCCAGTTCTTTGCTATAAGAAAAGTCTCCCATGGCACAATCTCTTGTACAGTTCCCTCATCTTCTGTAATCTTCTAACCTCCAAATATTTCCAATGCTACTGCTTACATAAAAGACAGGATCCAGAGAGGAAACTGCCTGAGTTTAGTTTGCTTGAGCAATAACAAAGACTGTAAGCACAATTTTGAGTGAATGAATGCATGTTTAGCCAAACACTGGCAGACTGAACCACCGTCACTTTACATACGTTGCAGAAATACACAAGCCCAAGCCACCTACTCTGATGTCTCTAGAGAAGACCTCCCACTCAAGAGCTCAGGGATTCAGAGAAGACTGTCCCTTTTCTCTCCAGAAAATAGAAATAGAAGAGAAAAATTGTACTGCTGAGTTGCCAGCTAAGTATTGCAAAATGCTGCCTCTCCTGGTAAAGTGGAAGTTTATGTGTAAAATCTCTGTCTGAAAGGAAGAGGGTAAATGGTTTTACATGTACCTAAAATTAGTGTCTAGGTGAGCGGACAGGAGGGGAGCAATAAATACATGAATATTATATGGAATCACTCACGATGGTATATGCCTGTCCCCTCGTTTCCCCATAAGCCTCACAAGAAGGGAAAAAAACAACCCATGAGAGTATTTCTCTGCATTATACAGGTAATATCATATGGTACACATACTCCTCAGTTATCTTTTATCTGTTAAAGTCTGCAAGCATGGATCTCAAAGATCAGGCAGCATCAATTCCTTGCGCTGCCTGACAGCTTCAGTTTTATGAATGAAACAAAAGCACTGAGCATAGTTACGTTTCCTATATCAGAATTCCCAGTGATTAACCCTGAGATCTGATGTGTACAGGGAGAAAGAAAAATCACTTCATTGCAAAACTGAGTCAGGAACATTCACGCTGGCTTAGAGCCAGTGCCCTCCTATCTTTGGCTGAAATGAGAAGCCCATACATCCAAGTTTAAAAAACAGGAAGAAATAAAACTGCTGAATTAAAGCAATAACATAAAAACAAAGCAGCCTGAAAAGGGAAAAAAAAACCCAACAGATAACAGTAAAAAGATAATAAATCCCTTTGTTCTAGTGGGATAAAAGAATATCACTTTCCAATTTCAAGTGATTTATTTTCAGCTGTGGTCTTGATTCCCCAGCAAAGGGAAAATCAGTATTTTCAAATATCTGAGGAAGAAAGGATATGATGCTACAGGCCTTTTTTGTTTATTAGGCATCATTAAGATTCTGGAAAATATTCTAAAACACAGATAATTTTAGAAAGTAGTAGCACTATAAGCAAAGGGATTTTACAAGCACAGCACAGTTAGTGGCAAGAAACGCAGCACTCACAGAGGATGAGCAGGGGTTGGCCACTTTGGGACTGCACGGTGGAGAGTAAGTCATCTTCACGAGAACGGGCATCTCATCATCTGACACAGAGCTGGCAGGCTTGTCTTTGACTGTGGCAGTGCTGGCAGAGGGCTGCGTGCTGGGCTCAGGTGACAGAAGCTTTACAGGGACAGACACTGGCATGACGATGGGCGCGAGGCTATCCACCTCTTTAGGCAGCGGCTGCTGTGGTGGTTTCTCTCCTTCATCCTGTGCAGACAATTAAAGGCTTTCAGCCCGAGGGAGGGAGGGCTACACAACACAGGCCCCGTGGCTGACAAGAAGTCAGGGCCAGGGTTACTGAACACAACAGTGTCGCCTCTGGGACTCTTTATTTGCCTTCAACGAAGTTGGCAGATGACTTATGGCTCCTATATAGGATTCAGCCTCAGTGATAAACAACCACGTTAAGCATCTTTACAAGATAACTTGCAGGAGGGGAGATAAACACATGCTCTTTTTATCACTGTAAAGACAGAATTCTCCATCACCCACCTAAAAACAGACAGATGGTGTAACTAGTAGCTCTTTGCTTTCCTACGGTATTCTCCGTCAGGACAGAACTTCTATAATATCAGGACAAAGAGACTGACTGAGCAAGTTATTTTTACACAGAACAATTCAAACCCACATTTTTGGTTTGGTGTTTGTTGATACCTAAAGAACTAAAACACTTGGGAAGAAAGCTGTCAAGGATTCAACAATCTTGCTCCTTCAATTAAAGCCTGGGAAGGCTTCCAATAAACATCCCTTAGTCATCCAAGTAGTCCAAATGAAAATAAGGAAGACTTGATGTTCCTGATATTTCTAATATAATAAACAACCATGCGGGGAAAAAATAACTTAGATGCTCCTGACATGACTTTGTAGGGTGTTTCTGTAACATGCAGTGAAAGAGAGGGACAAACACTGTTCTGTCGTCCACCACTGCCTCTGACTTTACTGCATGACTTCTGGCCTACAAACTAGGAGAATTATGTGCATTTCAAACTTAGGGTATGACATAAAACAGGGCTGAGAAGAACAAGTTTTGACAGCAAAGCAAAGCGTAGCAAAGCAAGCAAACATCAGCATGGAAAGGAGAGAGCCAAATACTGAAGTAAAACAGACTGCTACCTGTTTGAAGTTAGGAGATGCTCTTACTCCTCCGTGTGACCTCATGTGACCATTTAGAGCAGGCAAACTCTTGAACTCCTTCAAGCATACTGAACACATTAGCTTGTTCTTCGCATCAGCTCTTTCAGGAAGTGTTTCTCTGTTCTGGCCACTATTGTTAATTTCAGGGTTTTTTTAGCATGGAACAGAAGAAGAGACATTAGTTCGGCACGTTCCCTGTGTTGCAGAAGAAGCTTTAGTTACGGAAGTCAATAAAATTTTACAGCTAGATGGTTATAAAGCCACAAGTAAGAACAGGGTGAGTGGTGTGGAACACGTGGGCGATAACCTGGATCTGCTGCTCCCAAGAGAGGGAGAAAAAGTTTTGAGAAGCACATGCTCATCAAACTGTGGCCCTCAGTGTGGAAAAGTCTGAGAATGCATGGGATCATGACAGACCTATACTTCCATAGTTACAACAGCAGTTAACATGTTCTTGGACACAACGCCCCTACCTATGGTAAACAGTTGTGTTGGTGGACACCTGAGCCCTTCACAGATGAGACCTTAAGAAAAACAGAAGATCCCTGCTGCTAAAGATACAAATCCAAACCACACATCATCCCTTCTCCAAAATGCACCAGTGAGAGCAAACTGCTCCCTTGCTTTTTTTCCTTTGGTTTCCTTTTATTCCTTCTGTCTTCTTTGGAAAGATACAGCATTTATTTGATTTTATTGCTGGGGGCAGGGGACAGTGGAAATCACACAGACTTAAATCCACAAAGTACAAAACTAAAGATGTTTCTAGAAGAGCAACAACTATTACCTACCCAGAATGTATTCCCCTCCCTCTAAACTGCAGCTCTCCTCTGTATTTTTCACATTTAATTTCAAAAGGGAAGGAAAAAAAAAAATCTTTTAATACCTTTGTTCTGGGGACAGGGGCTGCAGTCTGCCATCTGACAGTTGTGCCTGCTATCAAAAGAAAGGGAAAAAAGAGTGGGGGAAAAAGAGAAATATTTTTTAGGCATTATTAATGCATAAATGAAGGTCCACACAGCACTGTGTTTGTATTTTACATATGCTTTTACTACTATTCAAAGCCTCTTGAGTTGAGAGTGCCTCTGCGAGCGTGGCAAGCGCACATTTTCTTACACCCACCACTGTTTGAAGCCTTCGCTCTGACCCAGAAGCATTACTTTTGGAAACAGGGAGCTGACCAGCTCTTCCTGAACAACTGAGCCCTCAGGCGTTGAAAAATTACCCAGAGCACTTTTTGTTGTCACTGCCCAGAAACCGAGGCAGCACTTGTTAATGTCTCCCACAAGGGAAGCAGCAGCCCCACAGCAGCAGTGGTTCTGTGTTGCTGCCAGCCTGGCCTGGAGCCAGCCTGGTGCTGCAGACAGGGGAGGTGTGCTGCCACAGCTCCCCACAACATCCCAGGGACACCCGCCGCTCACACCCTGACCTCCCGCCTCTCCTGCAGCCGCTTCACCTCCACACCTTGCCACTCTACTGCAAAGCAAGTCTGGCTGATCACAGATGTGAAGTATTACCTACCTGAGGCCACGGGGTGCTGGGAGAGTCTTGCTGGGAGCTTTTGTTGTTCGCGTGAACTCCCGAGGGCGGCAGAGGAGGTCGATGAGCTCCAGAGTTAAGCTCCGGGCGTGTGGGATCCTCCGCGGTCTCTGGCGGAGTGAGGCCAATGTGGGAGTTCATCGACGGCGCCCTGCTCTCACTGGGGAACTGCTTCTGCTGCTCTTGCTGCTGCTGCAGTAAACCCTGCGGGTACAAGTGCCTGTACTGTTCGTGGGGATCTTGGTAGCAATACTGAGGCACGGCTCCCAGCTGGATAAGCGGCACAGGATGACTCGGATCCTGAGAGTACTGGTGTGGTTCATGCATCGCCTTTGGATCAGGTTCCCTGTGATAGGGAGGAATGGACAACTGCATCTGTTGCTGCTGCTGTAACTGCTGCATAACAGGCTGCGCTTGGTAATATTGAGTGATTTGCACGGGGCACTGCCGCTGCTGCTGCTGCCGAGTTGCCTGCTGCTGGAGCTCCTGCATCGAGAGCCGCTGGTGTCCCTGCTGTGCCTGAGGGTAGTACTGACTCTGCTGCAAGTGCTGCATCTGCTGTGGCAAGAGCTGCTGGGATGGCAGCTGTTGGACATGCGTCTGTCCTGGCTGAAAGGCAGAATGCATCTGCATTTGGGATAAATGCTGCTGGTAGTCGTAGTACAGCTGTTGGTGCTGCATGACTTGCATCTGTTGCTTTTGCTGTGTGCTTGCAAAATTCTGGTGTGCCTGCTGTGGCAGGGGTTGGTATCTTTGCAGGCTGGAAGTTACAGGCTGTTGCTCAACCGCTGGCTTCTGGGACAGCAGCTGCCTGAGTGCGCTGTCGCTGGAGTTATCCGCCACTGAAGGCTCCGTGTGCAGAACCTGAGCCATGTTGTTGACTTGAATTCTCAGATTTTGATTAGCAAATACTTGTGTAAAGGAGTCCAGTTTATGCAGGACCCCACTGGTAATTTTTTGCGATCGATTTTCACTGGATTGAGAGTAAGGATATTGGTATCCGTCGTGGGACTCGCCCTGCCCAAGCGGGCTCCACATTGAGCTTTGATTGTTCAGGTTGTTCCTCAGTGGGACATGGTTTCCTGAGCCAGAATGTGTCCAGCTGGTTTGTCTAGATGTATCCACTGCCCCAAGGCTCTTTGAACCTACAGGTAATGCTATACTGTCTCTTGAATCTTGGGGAAACTGAGGAGAGAGAGGGGAAACCTGGGGAGCGTCCATAACAGACGTCCCATAGCTGTGATTTAGGGATGGAAGGGAGTTCATTTGGTGTTGTGGGTAGAACAAGTTCTCATTGCTGTTGGCAGTATGGTTAGTTTTATACAATTGCTGGTCCCCCATTTTTGGTCACTTCTGTTCCAAACTTACAGGCACAGGAACCATTGAAATCTCTATGAACCCTGAGATAGCTGAGTGAGGGAAAGGGAGGAAAGGGGAAAAGAAGCTAGAATTACTTTTAATTCAGCATGTCCACGTGCATTACAAGTACTAAGATTTCCTCCAGTCTGTCAGTAATTCCAGCCTCAGACTCGATGTTGCTTCACATCCTCAATAAATAGATCACAGCACAAATTCTACACAGATCAACAGGTTCAGTGTGCCAGGCACCTGTGGAGAAAGAATGAGGAGGTAAGTGCTGGCTCCCCGCATAAACTGTTACTGTTGTTGCCTCAAATGAAACTGCAAAATCTCTTGGACTGAAATACATAATAAGAGGGAAAATTGTACCAGCTGGGCTATTCCTCAGCAGTGACATTATTGCATCTCATCCCATTACTCCACCTCTTCTATACTGCTCTGATAAAATCATTCTGCCAAACCAATAAAGGCTTATTCTTCAAAACTGTTTTTTACCCCCTAAAGTACATAAACATTCAAGCAGTTGTAGCTGGCCATATACACCTCTCACAACTAGTTTTAGCCAGACAGTTGACTACCAAGCCAAGTCACCTTCCTAGTGTTATAGCCACCTTGTCAGAAACAACACACCCATTTTATACCACAAAATAAAGTACTGGTGGACACCACGGGTGCTTCCACAAAGGCCTGAAAAAGCAGGTAAAAGAAAACCACAGCTTTTCTGACCACACTCAGGTGTCAGCATCTAGAAGAACACACAGTAAAAGTATTTGCAGTCTGGGATTTGCACAGAGCCTTCCACAGCTTCTCACAACTTTCAGGTTATCAACAGGAGGTGCCTGCTGGTAAAACAAAAATAGAGCATCACTGAAGAATAAGATGCAATAGTCATAGTTATCTAACTGCATCTGTGCATGTAGGTTTGTTGGCTCATAGTTATGCATCTGTGCATGTAGGTTTGTTGGCTACATTTGAGTGGAATCTGATGAATGCTAAGAGCAAATCAGTCCATGGAAATCTTTTTCTGATTGCTCACCTTAGATGGGAAGCACTGAACGCCAACTTCTGCTCTACCCTCTCATATTTCCTTCTTTAGGGAGGAGGTGGAGTCACCATGTCTGGAGGTATTAAAAAAACATGCAGATGTGGCACTTGGGGACATAGTTTAATGGCCATGGTAGCGTTGGGTGACAGTGGGACTTGATGGTCTTTTCCAGCCTTAATGAGTCTATGATTCTTCGCTTTGCATTATTTTATCAGAATAATTTGTACCAAATGCAACCCTTTATCATTCTTACTGAATAAACTGTAATTCTAAGTAACGCTTTACAGATGTCTGTACTGTTTTCAAAGAATAAAACCAAATGCAGTGCCACAATATAGGGTTATTTTACTATTCTACAATATGAAGCAATCGTTGTGTCTACACACACGTGCTGAGGTACAATATGTCCATGCACACAAAGACATTTTAACATAAAAGTTGATTCTGAACTTTCACAAGAGCACAGAAGTATTAGACCACAACCTTAACTCTGCCTTCTTCACATCTGCCTTTCTAAATGTAATGCTTTCCAAAGACACCTGAAGTCCTTACCTTTTTCAACTGAGGAGAATCCCTTATCTAGATATATAAATGTGAAGTCACTGATAGAGAAAATTTTAACCATTGCCAGATGCATATTAACAAGGTCTGTGTTAGCAAAAGCAAAAAAGGGTAATACATAGCTGCAGGCAGAAAAAACCCTTTTCTGTTCTAGCATAATGTATCACAGAGAACCAGAGCTCCCAATGAGGGCTTTCAGCACATACATAGTGCGTAAACCATCTGCAGCCATTAGCATGTAACATTTTCACATGACAAATAATAGCTGAGAATAATTGCAAGTTTATCTCCCCTTTCCAGAAAGATACATTGCTTCATAGTTTCTCCAAATACACTCCCTTCCAGATTTTTATAGATGCAGAACTGAAAAAAGATAAGAGTCAACAACGAACGGTCAGGCTGCCAACAAGATTTTTCAGCCACAACTCAAAGACTTCCCATTAAAAATTATGAAGAGAAACTAAACAGTCTCCACAAAACATTCAAAAGGCATAAAAATAAACATTATGTGATATTTCACACTGAAAGGCCATCAACTTTTAGAGGAAGAGAGGGATTCTACACAGCAACATGCATCTCCTCTTAACGCCTTTAGAGTTAAGAAAGCTCAGCTGAGATGGTCTGAATGCATGTTCCCATGAAAACAGGGCATTACTGGATCTCTCAATACACCTTTTGTTTAAGAAGTGTGTCCCATTTCTTCTATTAACAGTGTTGCAATTTACACCTAGTTCCTCAGGTTTGGCCTTTATTTTTAAAGTCTGAAGTGACAAGTATTAGTCAAATGATAAGAAATCAGTAATAGAAACCAGTGAGTGAGAGTAAATGTCTCCAGGAAGCAATTAAAGGACCACAAGAATTTCAGGAGTAAGGACAGTGAAAGCACTTATTCTTAAAGCAGCAAACAACATAATGAATCAGGGGCCAGGCAGGCCCCTGACCCCCTGCTCTTCCCACAGGCAGGAGCACCACAGTGTGAGATGCTACCCCCTGTGCCAGTAGCCACAGCTGGCTGTGGGCACTACAGTCTCAGCCCTTGGGCATGTGCCTGATTCCACTTACTGCACCCTTTTACCTGGGAGCTACCTGTCACAGTTCTCAGGGCACTGGCCAACAGTCAAGAAGGTTTTATATCTGAGGTATTACCACAAACTTCTCTTACCCCTTCTCAGAAGAAAAAAAAGAGCTTACAGAATTTTCCTCTCCAGCAGCTCCAGAATCCTCAACTCACCTCCAGTTTGGGAGTTGGGACATACTGCTGTCTGTTAGGTACACTACAGAGTTATCATCACAGTTACCCAGAAACATCTGTAAAAATCTGAAAATATTAAAAGTTCTGTTGAAATACCAATCAAATCACAGGAGAACTGGAAAGTTCAGTCACTGTGAGAACCCCATTTGGAAAATCTATACTGTCTGCAAATACTCACTCCTACTACTCATCTCACCCCACTCCCACCCCCCCAAAAAACCAACCAAACAAAACCACAAACAAACAAAACCACACCACAACATTCCTTCCAAAAGCATCACTGATCTAGAGGAATACAAGTGCAAGTGCCTAAAAAGCACTGTTATTCTTCCTTCAGGTAACAAAAAAAACCTGGTAAACACACTGATAGAAGTATAATCAATAATAAACCATTCCCTTAGATAACAGAGGTTTTTTCAGTACTTGAAGAGGCTTAAATTCAGGGGTTTGATGGAATATACACTGAGCATTTGCTGTCAGCTTTAACAAAATGCTAACGGTCTACGTTTCTTGTCGGATTAAAATCTAACAGAGTATTTCAGTGCTGTACACAACATCATTAAGGCTTCAGGGGCACCACAGAGCCTCTGGCCAACTGAGAAGCCATTGCCAATGTACTGAATGATTTTTATGTCTTTTAGTGACAGCAAGAAAATAGGCACAAGAGCTAAACGAGAAAAAGGAGAAAAAGCACCAAACACCCATCACTGTAACTTATCACAAGAGCAAGTCTAACTACTAAATGGTTAAATCAAACTACTAAAAGCAGCAAAAGTTTTAAAGCACTGATAGTTCCCCAGTTCTGTGTTTCTTTCCTCTTTCCAACAGTCATTTATGCTACTTAACCTATTACACATCTCACATTACAGATGTATCCCAATTACACAATCATTACCAAGAAACATGAAAACAAATGCAAAAGGACAGAAACATTTCTGTAGACTGCCTAAAAAGAGAAATACCTTATTTATGTTTGTAGATGGAATCTGGACTCAGACTAATGGGAGTTCAATTGATTTTGACAGAGACAAGGTTTTGCTCCAACTCTTTTCTCATCATTTCAGCAGGGTCCCCTGCAACTTGCACAGCTCCACTCCCCAGCCAAAGCCAGGGACGTGGAAGCTGGCTGAAACACCTTCACACGCTCCAACTGTCTCCTTCAAACACAAGGAACTGTAAGGCAATACAAGTAGCAGTCGCTGCTACAAGCATGCCACAATTTAATACTGGTAAACATGAAATGGAAGAATATTCTAATGTTACCAGTCTTCACTAAAGGTAATCTGCTTTTTCTACTTCATAAACAACATCACTGGAGAGTCAGAAGAACTCAGAGAAGATGACAGGTAGTGAAATATCAAGGAGACGGTAGTTATAATATAGAAAAAAAACCCCTCCCAGTTATATCACCCCACAAAAGCTGAAACCTGCAGAAATTTTTCAAGTTTAGTAAACAACAAATCAAGCCACAGTCACGCTGCCTGAACCAACATGGACTTCAGAGCAAGGCATCCACTCCACCTAAGCTGGTCCATGGAAGTTGGGCCTGGTCTGGGCTGCAAAACCAGGACTGAATGCCAGCCATTGCCATTTTCAGAAGTCACTTGAGGGAGAGGGATAACAAAAGACTGTAGGAGAGCAGATGCTGAAGGAAACAGACTCGTTAAAAGGCCCTAAAGTTGTTATAGCACATCTAAGCCATTTCAGTAGGTTGCATGGCTGTATATCAAAAGTGAATTGGATCCTATGGTTTGCCCAACTTAGGCCAAGTATTTTTAGCTGTCACTTTAAGCAAGATTGCACATACATTCACAGAGTAATTACTCATTAGCCTGAAAGAAAGAAGAATTGGAAAGATGGCAAATGCAAAGACGATCTCCATGTTCAACCAGCTTACAGAGTACCTGCAGCTACTCACAAGCAATACTATCAGTAGATGCTCATTTGCTAGGGCACCATCTCTCCTCCTGTTCCTCCCTCCAGGACAGTAACACATCAGTTAAACCAAATTTAAACACCACTCTTAATCTAAACTGGTTTTTATAACACTTAACTCAAAGCATGCCTGCTTACAGAAATGTGTCAACACTAAGTGTTCTCCCAGAACTGTAGACAAGTTTTAAT